TTTTGCCCCTTGCCTGCCTTGTACCGTCTTTACTGAATGTGTTTTGTCCCTGTCTGTTTGTACCATATGTGTCGTAATTAACCACATTCTGTCGAACCAAACACTACATCGATTCCAAACTCTGGGAACTGTCATGGAAAGTTGGCAGCATCCGTTATGTAAATCTGTTTTTGAGCCGTTGGACATGGGAGGGACATGAGCGGCTGTTGTGAATGGGTTGTCACCGGAGACTTTATTGGCTCGCATCCATGCAGCTATTTATTTAACGAAACAGTGCTCATTCTGACAAATTCTATTATCGCTCGGTGCTAGATATGAACGCTATTCTGACTGCGGATTTGTGGATTTATTTTATAAAGACTTAATGAAGTCTTAAAAAGCCTGGCTATTTAAAGGGTAGACAAACTGACCTCTGTCACAATAACTAGGGCTGCAATTAATCGTAATTTGGAAGCTACTCCATCATTTTTAACTGAGTGGATCATACTGAAATGTTTCACCATGTTGGGAAATTTGGGTTATTTAAAGCCCAAACATTTTTCGATTTTGGATAGAGTAGGGCAGGGGTGCCCACAATTTTTGTGTTAAGATCTACTTTTCAAATGACGAGCTACATGAGATCTACCAACGAAAAAAAAAAACTCCCTCGCTCTCTCTCCTGGCTGTCTCTCCTTGTTCATTCTCCTGGCTGTCTCTCCTTGTTCATTCTCCTGGCTGTCTCTCCTGGCTGTCTCTCCTTGCCACCTCCCCTGGCTGTCTCTCCTCTCTATCTTTCCTGTCTGTCTCTCCCCGCTTTCCCTCCTGACTCACTTTGCTATAGTTTGCAAACAGTGTAGTGCAACAGGCTGTGTATACTAATATTCTTTCATGTAATACATAGCACTTTAACCACCAGTATCCACCAGAAAGGTGTCGGGGAGCTTGGCTCAGCAGACTCAGGCTAATAGGTAATCATGTGTGCACAGCGAAATAAATATACTGTACCAAAATGGAATAAAGGGGCCACCATTCACACCCTTCGTTATCTACCAGCATCAGCTTTGAGAGCTACTGGAAGATCACAATCTACCTAATGGGGGCACCCCTGAAGCACCCCTGAAGTAGGGAATTATTAAAAACCATTTTTTGTAAAAAAAAATATTTCAATGCCCATTGGGGATATTTCCCCTCATTTCCTATCCCAGAGACAGATCAGGAAGTGAGCAGAAATCTCCCCAGAGTGATGAGAAATCCCCACTTAGTTGTCAACAGGACGAGTGCTATCGTTGCAAGATTTACCCTTATCCCCTACTCTGGCCTTGTTTTTTTGGATTTGCCATCATTTTCTATCTGGTTACAATGGTCACCAAGACAAATAGGCAAAATCACGCTGGCAGGGATACCAATGGTAATACAAATTGACGGGTTTTAACACTTCCTCTTTATTCAAATAATCTATTTTAGATTGTTGTTGACACTTGGAGCCTGTTCACACCATCTCCTGCATGCACTCTTTTTGCAATAGCACAGTATTTGTGGTACCGCGCGTTGCAGTGCAGCCGATCGCACTGCGAGCGGGAGGTATGCTTGGGATGCCATTCAAATGAATGACACGCAATGTACCTCCCGCACTGTAATCACATGGAAAGTGCATTGCGTTATACCATGCGTTTATCGCATGTAACTGTGCGATTAACGTACAACGATGGTGTGAGCGGGCCCACAAAGCTAAACTCAAGGCAAACAGCTAAAATCACAGATAACATAAATATACAGTATGATCTGTATGCATGAGATATGTATGTGTATATACAAGGAATTATGTATTTCTGTCCATTCTGTTACTCGGCTCAGCTGGAGACCAAACATTTTCTTATAGCTTGGTCTTGCCCTTTTCCTCTGGGTTGTGGATAGTATAGGAAAAGACACAGGATGAGCTCCTCTGTAACTCTGCTCTTTTTTCAGTCAATATGTCCCTTGTTAGCAAATGGGCACTTTAGCACCTGATTGGTTTCTTGTGCTGCTTCTACTTCTTCCAGCTTAGGCTCTGCTGTAATGGGACTGCAAGGCTATTAGCCTTGCTGATTACCAAGGTACTGACACTAGGAGTTTTTAAATATACACTTAAAGCTGAACTCCAGGGAGATGAAAAACATATCAGGCTTACCCCACACTGCAAGGGCTAATTGCTTGATTATGCTTGAGATTCCAGTAAAAAGGACTTACTTACCTGATCCCTCCACGCTATGAGACAAGTTCCAGCCAGCAGCCTCTTATCCAAAGAGCTCCGTCAATTGCAGGCACTCTGACGTCATCAAGTACAATGCAGGGCTAATAGCCGAGGTTCCAACCAAAACCCAGAGGGTCAATTTAATGCTGACAGGAGGAGAGGGGGATGGGGTAAGTAAAATCCTGGTACCCTGGGAATAGATGAACAGTTAACCCGTATTCGTCATTTACACGACTAACAGCCGCCCGTACAGATCCGTGCTGCGTGCACGGCCATATGGGACCACTCCCGGGAAGGACAGGTGCTGCGTGTGATTTGTACGCAGCAGCCTGATCTTCTGTATGGGAGTACGTCACCGCACGTTCACCCGAACTGCACATCCATGCATGGATCCTGTCTGCGTCCGAGCAGGGACACTCGCACGGGCGCGCAGTTCGGGTGAGCGTGCGGCTGCGTACTCCCATAGAGAAGAAAAGGCTGCTGCGTTCAATCACACGCTGCACATGTCCTTTCCGGGACCAGCCTGATATGGCCATGCATGCAGCACGGATCTGTACGGGCCGGCCGTTAGTCGTGTGATTGAGGGCTTAGCCTCAAAGGAAGGGGTTTTTTTCTTCCTTTCCCTGAAGTTTTTAATGAATATACTGTATACCTGCATCAATTGGCGTTTTGTTTTTAACCTGCCTTGATTATTACAAGTAAATACAAACTTGTATGTTGTATAGCTTCAAACAGAGCTGCATGGGTGTTTTATTTAGCTATTTACCTGAATTGTGTGAACTTTCCACAATCTATCACCTTTGAAAACTTCTGTCCACATATATCTAATTGATTGATTGATTTTGAGTGATCTTTAAAGAGTTGTGTGTGCAGAAGGGTAAGATATAAAAGTGCGCATGCATGCGTTGATTGTGCTGAAACGCGCCATTAGCAGTTACCACATAGATCTGCTACATCTCCATCAGATGGAGAATTGAGTAAAGAATTTCTGGTTCACATACATATGATAGCTGTATGCAATGACTATTATTCCTGTGGTTTGAAGGCCAATAAATGTCCTTCAGAGGGACAATACCCTGAAAGCACAATACTGCCCATTGTATACCATACCTACGGACATTGTATGCCTTGGGCCCGTGATTAATAAAGGCAAAAATTAGAACAGAGGTACAAGTAGTGCCTGTACGAAAGTACTGTACACACTACTAATATTCCCACTACAGGTTAAGTATTTTTTTGGGTCGAGGTACTGTTTAATTTTATTTTGTGTCTTTGTTTTATACATTTGGACTGATGATAAAGAATATTGGAGTGGCGGTGTGTCTCAGAAGAACCAATCAGAGTCTCCCTGTCAGCTTTCCAGTGCAGGTAAGAAAGTAGACATCTGATTGGTTGTTATGAGCAATTCCTGCACGTTGTTCCCCAAGATTTTATATCTCGGCACTGGTATTTTGTGGATGTATACTGCTGCTTACAACATGAACCTGGTAGTCCTTGGGAATTGATATCTACAATTCAGAGTGGCGGGGGATGAATTCTGTCACTCTATTGTTCATTTCAGACCCTTCTACAAACTTCCATTTCATGAACATATTTTTAAGATTTGAATCTGTGAATTTCCATTAGATGCAAGTGGTGAAATAAAGTGTATTTCTTTTGTATATTCTTTGAGCCATTCTTTCCTTTCACTTGGCGTTTGCAACTCTTGTGAGTCACGCAGATCTGCCACACTGCTGCAAGTTTTACACGGTTATTCACAAAAGGGTGAAGAGTTTGGAGAAGGCAGGAAAAGTGAACAATCTAGGACAACATAGCTGATTTGGAAACATTCTCCAATTCAGGTCACTTTCCAGTTCAGCTATGTTGTCCTAGATTGTTCACTTCTCCTGCCTTCTCCAAACTCTTCACCCATTTGTAAATAACCTTGTTAGTTTTCTAGTTCAAATAAGCAAAACGGCTTTGTCGGCTCCAATACATTGCTTATAGTGAAGGAGCACCATCACACCAATGAGGGCATTTCTGTTAGCAAGCTCCCAGCGT